ATTTATTTCTAAGCTTTATTCTTTTTATTACTCTTGGACTGAATGAAATTTATTTTTGGATGGTTTGTGGTTAGTATATAAGGAGTGCAGCTGGGTGTGGTGGCTCGTATCTGTAATCCCAGCACTTTGGGAAGCTGAGGCAGGCTGATCGCTTGAGCTCAGGAGTTCGAGACCATCCAGGCCAGCATGGTGAAACCCCATCTCTACTAAAAAAATACAAAAATTAGCCATGCACAATAGCATGTGCCTCTAATCTCAGCTACTTGGGAGGCTGAGACAGGAGAGTTGCTTGAATCCAGGAGGCATAGATTGCAGTAAGCTGAGATTGCGCCATTGCATTCCAGTCTGGGCAACAGAGAGAGACTCTGTTGAAAGAAAGGAAGAGAAAAAGGGGGAGAGAGAGGGGGGAGGAGAGAGGGAGGGAGGAGAGAGGGGAGACAGAAGCAGTTGATTACAGATTTTGGTATATACCTCTCTAAACGTTTAAATTAATTATTGTGGGTTTCTTGTAGAGTCCTTAGAATTACCGACACACAAGATCATGTTAGCTGCATATAAGTATAATTTTAACTTCTTCTTTTTCAATCTATATATCTTTATATTCGCTGCACTGAGTGGATATGAGGTATCATTGTCTTTTTCAGGTCTTCGTTGGGGAAAGCAGTCTTTCACTATTATGATATTAGTTGTAGGCAGTCACCTTAGAAAGGAAAGATTGTTTCAACACTGAAACACTTAATGTATATTATTAATAGAATAGAAGACTGAAGCCCACATTATTATCTCAGTAGATACAGAGAAATCATTGGATAAAATCCAACACATCAGTGATAAAAGCAAACAAACAAAACTCAAAAACTATACATCGAGAAGAGGGAATAGCGGCTATATTATACTACAGTTGTATAATAATTAATAGTGGAAGATGGATTTTTTTCCTTTGTAAAATCTGGGAACAGAGCATTAATGTCTGCCCTCACCACTTCTATTAACTCTGAACTGGAAGTTCTAGCCATATTTTTTCTCATTGTAATACTTATGCAATGTATTTTGGAGCATGTGGAAATATAAAGGGAAAATAACCCCAACTCCTTTCCCTATCATCTAGAATTATCACTGTTAACATTGTGTTCTCCTTCCCTTCAGTATGGTGTGTGTATATGTTTGTGGGATAACACATTAAAAAACAAATTTGAGATTGTATTTTATGCTTATATCTCTGAACTAAATGTCTTACCGTTTGTTTTCTTGCTCATTACTGCCTACTTTGGTCATCTCTCAGTTCCTTGAGCAGGCATGTCCTTTGCATATACTATTTCTTTTATTGGAAATTCTCTCCAGTTTATTCTTTATGTGACTAGGACCTTCTCAGCTTAAATGTCATTTTCTCAGAGAAGCTTTTCCTTTTCCTTATCACTTTATGTAAAATAGCTTCCTCTCTACTTCTTGTTTTGTTTGAAATCTTCAATTTTTTTATTTTTTATTTTCTGTTTCCTTCTTGTCTCTTTCCCATGGGAACTGTGTTTGTCATATTCATGCTGTAATTCCAGCACCTAGCATAGCGTCTAGCCTTCTAATGTGTTTGGCAATTTGTTCAGCTCAGATGAATAGTATCTTGCTTTCTTAGCATTATATTCTGATAAATTTACCCACATTATTAAATACTCTTTGAAAACATTTGTTTTAATTATTTCATAATATTTCACAATATCATTATGATGAAGTTATTTAAGTATCTTTATTAGACATGCTTTCGTTATGATTCAAAACACAGCTGGCATATTGAGTTTCACTGACTTGGACTGAAGGCTAATTTACCCATTTATTAATATAGGAAAATTTTTAAATATTAATGTTAGAGGAATTTATTCTGTGTTATCTTTTGTTGGTTTTATTTAAATATTCTTTTGATTTATCTTTTGTGTGGTTATATTTTTGTCTCAAAAGAAGTATAATAATGTCTTAGTAGAGACCAACCATTAACATAAACAATTTGTAGTCTCCTCATCTACAAACTGAAGATAATAATAATCACCTTGTAGGGTTTATTTTTAAAGATTCTATCTGTAAACGTCTTATTGTTATGTTTGAGACATAGTAATTGCTCAGTAACCATAGTTATCATTATCTGTTAAGTCTCTTAGTTCTGGGAATGTGACAAAATATCAGATACAGATTGTGAGCTTGGAATACTTTTAACTCCTTACATGGAAAATATAGGTCCATTAACTTCATATGCTAGTACCAAATGTTTTGCATTACCTGAATTCAGATCATTGTAGATGAACAGTAGTAAAGAATAATCAGAATTTATGTTCCAGAGAACTGCCAAGACCCTGTCTTTTTCCAAAATACTGGGATTTGAATTCTGCCTCAGCTTCTTATTAGCTTTGTGACTTGAGGTAACTTAAACTCAGTTTCCTCATCTACAAACTGGAGATAATAATAATCACCTTATAGAGTTTTTTTAAAGATTACATCTGTAAAAGGCTTGTTGTTTTGTTTGAAACATAGTAATTGCCCAGTAAACCATAGTTATCATTACCTGTTAAGTCTCTCAGTCTGGGAGTATTGATAAGGGTAGGAGCTATAAGGATTCCTTATGCTGTCATCAACAGATAATGGCCAGCTCATTAATAATGTTGCTCTAAGTTGGGCACAGTGGTGCACACCTGTAGTTCCAGCTACTTGGGAGGCTGAGTTGAGAGACTCAACTAAAAATAATAATAATATTTCTCTAAAGATATTTTCTTTTACCCTTTTCAGAAGTTGGTAGTTTTCTTTATAGAATATGCCAGTTTGTAAGGTTTCTTATCTATATACCTATACCAAAAAAAGATTTAGCCCACCAGTTCATATTTTAAATTTCCAGTAGTTAGATTCTTTGACATCAATTTATAGATTACTGTTTGCAGCATTTTTAAATATAGTTATGTTTACTTTCTTGTTCCAACTTTAAAGTAAAAGTTTATAATCTTTTGTTAAGAAGGAAAAAAGGTAATTGAAAATTAAACAATTAAATTCTACTAGAATTTCAGTGAGTTAGTAGATAATGTTGACAAGAGGAAGATGGGCTTGCCCTGAGTATTGCTTCACAGAGTAGGGATTGGAGACTTCAGAAATTCCCATGGTCCCTGCTGCATTCTAATAGTAGTACTAATGTAATTGCAAATATGGTTATTGTTAAATTGCCCTGTGTATCACTGCCTTCTAGGTAGACATAAAAAGGGCAAGTGATTGTTTCCTACTTTTCCTAGAATTGAGTGAGTCCAAGGTCTATAATTTGGGGCATATGACTTAACCAGTCCTGCTCAGTATCTGTTGCTCCTGTATAAGATGGACTCTCTGGTCGTTTCACTGAGTTGTGAAAATCAAATGCAGTCATGCCCATGAAAGAGTTTGTAACTGGTAAAGCATTACTCACTTAATTATGTTCCCATTCATGTGTTAGCCTGGCTCTTTCTCATAGCTACTTGGTAGGGTGCTGCTGGTGGCCATGTGAAAGCTCAGAATTACATCTGTAATGTGCACTGCCTCTTAGGAGTTTTATACTTTTATTAGGGAGTGGACAGTTTTAGTTTTTTCCTACTGTCATCATTTAATTTGTGTTGTTTATTATAAAAGTAATTGTATGTGTTTACTGTAGAGAAATTAAAAAATAAATAGCAAAAATAATAATAATTACCTCTAAATGCAGAAATACTGCATTTACATTTGTTTAAAACAAAAATTCAATTAAGCTGAAATGTTTCCCATTTTTATCACTTAACATAGTATATAATTTCATATAATTTAATTTTCTTGTATAATATTTTAATGACTACATAATATTCCATGATGTAATATGCTATAGTTTATATAACTATTTCCTGTTTTTTCATTTTGACATTTTATGGCTATATACAATGCAGTGCACAATATATATATTTTGAACATCCTATGGCTAAATATTTATACCTGTACTCCATGATTTCTTTTAAAATTAGGATAAATCTTACACGTGGAATTGCTGTATCAAAGGACATATAACATGTTAAGGCATTTAATTTTTGTTACAGTTTTATCGAGGTATAATTGATGAATAATAAACTGTACATATTTAAGATACAGTTCAACAAGTTTTGACTTATGCGTACACTTGTGAACCATCATTACAATTAAGATAACGTTTCTTTGAAATCCCACCCTTTGGCATCCTTCATCCCCAGGCAGCCCCTCTGATCTATTTTCTTTAATGATAGATGAATGCATTTTCTAGAATTTTGTCAAAATTGAATCACACAAAATATGTTTCTTTTTTATCTGGATTCTTACACTCAGGGTAATTATTTCGAAATTCACCCATATTTATTTTTCATATATGTGTGTGTATTCTGTTTGTTACTGCATAGTAAAATTATATGATATGGATATACCATATAATTCATTCACCCATTGATGGGCATTTCAGTTGTTTCTAGTTTTTGACTATTAAAAATAAATCTGCTTAGGACATTGTTGTGTAAATCTTCTTATGGATATAGGGCATTTGATATTTCTTACCAAATTTTTTGCTGCAAAGATTACATACTTGGTATTTTGAAACTGAAAAAGTTTCATATAAGAAAAACTATAGCCACTCTTTTTTTTTTTTTTTTTTAAGAAATATACCTTTAGGAGGATTTATAATTTTTGGATGTAAATTAATTAATATAGCACAGCACACTAAGAAATTTGAAATTAACAAAGTTTAATAAATCCATCCTAGCAACTATAAGCCTTTTTTATGGTTTATTTTGTTGAAGCAGCTACTCATATCAATTATTATCTGGAAAGCAAAGATCTGTTGCTTTCCTTTAATGAACCAGCATTCATGAACAATTGATATTTTGCTGGCAAATGACTACTTTTGCATTGAATTTGAACAAGAAAATTAGTGGGATAAGTCGAACTTCATCAAAACATATTCCAGAATCTGGTTTGGAATAGATACCAAACTATCTTTTCCCTCTTGTTAAGATGCACACTTTACCGAAGGAGGACGGGGAATCTGAAGACTCCAGATGACATCAAAGCTACTTTTCAACAGCCTTCTCAGTTTCCTTTCTCAGAAAGCAGAGGCTTAAAGCTTGGAGACAGATGGTGAGAATTTTTTTTTCCTGAGTTCTTAAGGCTTAATCATTGCGACGTTAATATATTTCAGATAATTATTTCTCAGTTATAAATTAGCTTATAATTCGAAATGTTACGGCTTCATCTCTGCAGGTTATTTCATCAGGCAGTATGGTTTAAAAAATGAGTAAGATACAATCCTTCCTTTAAGGAACTTATATGGAAAGGATAAATGTAAATAAATAAATGTAATCTAATAATAAAAGAGGTAAATCATGTAAAAGAAATGTAGAAAAATATTCTTGAGAATTCAATGTGTATATTACTTCTGGAGAGAGGAAATGGGAAGCCTGAAAGAAGAAATAGTATTTTTGTTGATAATACTTAATTTGTTTTTATCAAAAACTAAAGAAAATCGACAGTTAATATAAAGCCTGAAATAGCAATCCCCAATTTCAGATAAAAAGTTAATTACCATTTTGAGGAAAGATAGAAGCATGTTTGATTATTGTGCATTTATTATAGTATAGGCCAGTGATTACTTTTGGAATTATGTAAAATTCCTTTTACAAAGGAAAGAGCATTATTAGCATTTCTGGGAAATGATAAAGTAATTGGATTAAATTAACACAAGTAGGTGGGCAGAACAACAAAGGAGCCGATGAGTGTGTGGTTAATTGTACTTGGATTAACACTCCTGTTTTCTAGTAAAGCTACAACCTAAATGAATTCCTCATGTCTTAAGCTCTTGGAACTTATGCTGCTGATTTCTGGGCAGTAGGAATCAAAGGGAACTAGGTAAAGGCATAGTGATTGATTATGGTGCTCATAATCATTTGTGATTAGTTCAGTTTCATCTAGCTAACTGAAAAACTCTGGTCAGAGAGAGTACAGATACAGCATGCTGAAATTCACCATGTTTTAATTGACCACAGTGTTTCAAAAAGGGAATGGCAACTCTGAGCCAAATTTGCTCTTTACCTGTAGGCATCCACAAAGATGATCCTAACTGCTTTTCCTTCACTATTCTGATAATGTTCAGAAAACCTAGTAATGAAGTTATTTTAATCACCTACTTAAATGCTTAGTTTTTCTTGTAGTTTTATCAAAAAAATCTTTAAAACATTAATTTTTAAAGGACTGCATAAAACGACTAATAATTATTTGGTTGCAAGTCACTTTTCATGTATTCATATATTTTTCACCTCTAAATTAAAATTTAAAATCAACTTGGCAATTATTAATAAATACTAAAAGTGTTTTTATTCAGATATAATTAAGTATTAATCACTCGTTGGTAGTCTGAAATCTGCTTTTATATTTGATCAAACAGTTGATATTGAACCCCATTTCCGAACTTCTAATTGTGTTAATGTTAACATTATAGTCATGCATATTACTTTGACCCTCCCCCACAAGATATAATTGTTTTGTCGTTGTTCTTAATTTGTCAACACCTTTGTTTTATGTAACCAGAATAACATTCACTTATGAGAGTTAGATAAGTAAATTATAGGTAGCCATCTGGTAAATATGCATAGAATGAGTTGTTCTTAGAAAATGATCAAATTTAGATTTTATGTCCAGATTAAAAAAAGAAGACATTATAATGTACAGTGAACAACTTTGAAAACAGTGATTTTCTGTATTCCTTTCATATATTTAAAAATACTTTTAGATTTTAAAGATGATATGTCAAATGTGTTTTTTCTAAAATGTGTTGTGTTAAATAGGAATGAACAGTCCATGGGCAAATAAGCTTGGGAGATATTGGTCCAAAGTATAGAATGTCTTTTCATTAAGCCTTTCATTAACCAGTGGACTGTGTCTCCAAAAGAAGGATCTGGTATATTTCTGGAGATGAGTATTTGATGAGTTGAGGATTGTAAACTAATATGTTTTATGAGGCTTTTGCTATACTTTGTTATACTCTGTAAAACACTCATGTTATATTTTTAAGTATAGTTATGTTTTTTTGAATGAAAGCTCAAAGAGAATGGGGAGAAAAGGGATGTAATTAATTGAGTATTGTAAATTATATAAAGAATCAAGTGTTTAAAAAGGCTTTTAGTGTCTTAGGCCATATTTCCCTTGCTCTTTGTTGGCTTCTTCTTTTGAAAAAGATACAATCATCATATGGAGTAACAAAGTTAATTCATCCTTTATTATGTTTTATGGGACTTCATATACTTTCTCTGCTGTTTAGCTCAGTGTATAGTATTTATTAGGTAATTTTGATAAAAATTGCTGATACAAAAACAGGGACCATCTTGTGTAGAGTCAAATAAACGACCATAAATCAATTTAGCTCAATATGCTAATTTTCCCTCTAATGGAATTGTTTTTATATGTCATGATTTTCCACTGGGAAGAGTTCTAGTTTGATTAAAATTTTGACGACTATTTTAGTAGATGTCTTGAGTTTAAAACTCGTGTCAGACATAGAGGTATCTATATAATTTTTTTTTTTAAAGGCCAGTACTGATGGGTTGGGTTACCAGATTGATAAAGTAGGTGAACTATATACATGGAATGCCTTACCAACTTTGTAAAACACTCCTCAAAGTCATAGTTTTTTGTTTAAGAAATAACTCTTTGTAAAATGTGTTTAAACTTTCACGTTAGGTTTTTAGTAGGAACATGAAACTGGTAAAACCAAGATCAATTTATAATCTAGGTAAGTTGTCTTAGTTGTAATTAATTGCCGTAAATCAATTTGGATTTCTCACTAGAGTTTTCCTGGCCTAGTGGATAATGTCGGTAAGAAAATCTGTATGCTTGGCTCAAGTGAATCATTGTTAGTTTCCAGCATTGCTTTCATCCACTCTTAATTTCCTTCCTCACAGCCAACCATGTTAGTTCAGAGTCTTAACGTTTCTCATGTGGAGCTCTTGTGCTGGCAAGCCTCTTTTCTAACATCCTTGTCCGAGTCTCTCACAACTACCAGCTCTTCCGAAAACTCCAGCTTACTTGTGTTACTTGTCTGATCAAAAATAATGTAGCAATTGTGATAGCATAATGAACATAGAAAAGTAATAGACCTTTTTTAATCCTAACTTACTGTTACTATGGGAAATATTAATATAATTAACATCTTTTTGGAATTGGTTATCTTTAAAGAATTGACTTTTCTTTAAGTGTTTTACTTAATATCTTAATTGATATAACTTATGTCGTTTGGGGAGGAGGATCCCTACTAGACTAATCCCCCATATCAACTCAGATTTTATAAAGTCCCTATATACTAAGCCTCCATATCAACTTCAATTTTATAAAATTTCTATATTCTAAGCTTCCCATATCAACTTAGGTTTTTTTCCTCTTCCATGAAAGGTTTCAAATGAAATAGTCAACATAATTTTAAAAGTGTTGATCAAACTGTCAATACACTTTCTTTTCTTACACAGACCCTGGTCTTTTTTCACTGTAACTAACTGATGTGAACCTGATAGTCTCCTTGATTCTCTGCTACATTTGCCCTTCAACAATGTGGCCTGCGGTTTGCATCTCTGAAAATTGTCCGATTCTAACTTCAGAGCTTATGTATTTTATTTAGATAACTAGAATTTCTCCATTCTGGATTAGAGGTATATGAGTAATTTCCAAACCTCATTTGCTTCCTTTTTGCTTTTTTTTATTTAAAAAAATTGTTTATAGCACACTCTATGTAAGCTTCTAGCTTGAAGCTTTGTCTCATGCTATTGCCACTTCTCCCCGCCTGCCATCTTGCGGCCTGTCCTTCAAGCTAGTGCTTCTCAAAATGTCTGCAATAAAGACAATAACTTGTTTGTGTGTTTTGATTTTATTTTTTAGTAACTCACTTTTATTATCTTTTTAAAAAGCTTCTGTGACAGATTAGAAGTTTTTTAAAAGACTACAAAATCTAAGTCCACATCTTTCATCATTGAATTTAATTATCTAGAACTTTTATAGAACTTTTATATAGTTTTATGCCATCAAATTATTTTGTCATGTTTTATAACAGTTTGTCATTTCCGGCAGTTTTTGTTCTTGGAGGTGATTAAAGTTTCTGAAACATATTCTGTGCCACTGTGCTTCCTGGACTAGACCGATGATCCTCCCACTTTCTAAAGAAGACTGAAGCTTCTTTTCCAGTTGGGGAAGCCTCGATTGTCCCTGGAGTCAATTCATATGCCACCTCTGTAGAGCACCTTCACTAAGTACTCAGTACAGTGTTTCCTGCCGTACTACCCAGTCTTCTCCCCAAAATTGTGTCTTTCAGTGCTTTCTCCACTTTGTCCATGCCTTCTCTTAAGTAGTATCTCACTATGATGTTTATTGTTTTTCCTGATGAGATTGTGAGCCCACACTTAGTGTTCCTTGTAACTTCAGCTCTTAACAACATAGCAGCTTTTTTATAAATATTTGTCGATTTGTTACTTCTTGTGTGGTAAATTCAGAGTAATAGTGACTGCAGAGATGGGAGATTTTTCATATCCTCCTTAGTCTACTCATTGCTTTAGAAAGATCTTTCTTTTCTTTCCCCATCTAGGTCTTAGGGACATTCTGCACAGAGAACCATATTTATCTGCCATAACTGTAGTGGAAATTCTTGAAATTAGAAAGTAGACGTTGTGTTTGAAGAAAACCAACGTTGCACTTTTTAACTATTACTAGCAACAGTTCACAAACTTTTTGCTTTCAGGACCCCTTTATATTTTTAAATTATCGAGGACCCAAGAGAGCTTTTCTTTATGAGATTCATATCAACTAATATTTATCATATTAGAAATTTAAACTGAGAAAAAGTTTAAAACAAGAGTTACACAAGGATGCATTCCATGTATGTAGCGTCTGGACAACTCCACTGTACACTTTTGAAGTAATGATACCAAAAACCAGATAACATTTAGTATTATGAAAGTAGTCTTTACCTCATGTGCCTCCTGAATGGGTCATGGGGAGCCCTGGCATCCTTGGACCACCCTTTGAGAACTGCCATATTATGGAAATTAACTTGTCTAATTGCAAACAGAATCGTCTATATTTTTATTCCAATAATATTGACCTAGCTTTTGTGTTTGTAGATTAATAAGTTTTTTTTAATAACTGCCTGACATATCATATTACCCACTTTTCTATTAATGTCTAGACCTAGAATGTGCTGGAACTTATTGCCAGTGTTGACTTGGCAGCTGTAAGACAGAGATGCTTACTCAAGGAGAAGTCATTTTATTTGTGGATACTCAGTAAGGTCATTCATAGTTGTGCCCTGTCAGTAACCCTGGCTTTCAAGTTCTTGTCCTTTTTATGATTTGTGGACCTTCAAATACTTCTCCTATGGTGATTCTCCTACCTCCAGAAATTTCAGAGGTTTTGTCATTTAAAAAATAATTTCACAAAATGAAGTTGACGTCTTATTTTGCAGGACTGATTAGGCTTCCCCTCAAGTTTTTCCTTCTCTCCTTTGCGTGACCTTCCCCTCCACTTGCCTCAACCTGATCCCTGATGCTGGCGCTCCTTTTCTGAGAGTACAGTCTGCTCTCTGGCAGATATTTACTTGGCCTTAATGACTCCTGTTCTGTTTTATTCCCTACCCTCTTACCTTGGCTGATACTCTGCTAAATTCTTTCTGAGGTCTTAGCGGGACAGCCAGTCTCTAGAGTATTTGACGACTCTCTTCAAATCACATTGGTACTGGGTCTTCCCGGTGGTTTCTGGGAATGCGTTGTGTACCTTTCAGCTGGCTGGGAATAGCAAGATGGTTGCTAGTTCCGACACTTGATTTACTGACAGCTTCATATTCTTTTTACTCATAGCCTTTTTATCATGTGATGATGTCATGCAAGCTGGAATTTGGGGACTTGATATCATTATGAATGATCATCCAAAAACATGAAGCTAATAGAATGTTGGGCTAGTTTTTATTTTTTAATTCTGTGTCCTAAACATAGTCGGCAGTCAATAAATGTTTACTGAGTTATTTTTTTTCTCATTTGTGTTGGATAAAACTCTTAGCTCTAAGAACTACATTATAATTTAAGTCAGACATCTCTCCCTTATAGCCAAGGGAAATACACTCTCACACTATCTGAAAAGGTACATGTTGCTGTCTTAGTAAGCAAAACCCTTACCTAATACTTAATGAAGATTGATAGTTGAAATGTACAAAATTCAGATTTCAAACAGGATCTGATACTGACTCTTTGAAGCACCTTGATAAGAATTACTACTTTCATGAAACTTTGTTGAAATCATTTTTTAGCACAGTGTTTATCAAACCTAGGCTTGAGATACAGTAATTATTTTTTATCATTTTTATCTTTGATTTAATAAAGTTGCTTATGAAATAACACCGTATCTTATAGCACTCTTTATGTTAAACAAATTGCTTTCTAAATATTCAAAGCAGCCTTCATGGTTTTCAGAGCTGTCTTTTTCTTCAACTCTCCTGCCTCTGCCTTATTTTGACCATGGCCATGCACTAACTGATCTACAGTTTCTTCTCCCCTCCAAGCTATCAATAACTCCATAGATTCTGTTTTTGTTTTTTAATGTGCTTTTCGTTATACCACTGTGTGTAAGGAAACCCACCAGATAAAGACCAGCTTCTTGGCATGGCCTTGATTCAAAGTCCTTGGTCCCAGTTGCATTTCCAGCCTAATCTCCAGTTCCATTGGACTACCATGCTTCCTGTGACACACTCAGCTCTTCCTTGACTTTGAGTGCTATTTCTGGACCCTAGAATGGCTGCCATTATCCTCTGCTTGGATAGCCCTTACTCATTTTTTAACCATCACTGACCACCACCTGCACATGCACATATGAACTAAAAACCTACTTACATCCTATCTGTGTTCCTAGAACACTTTTTACATATTTCAGTCATTGCATTTAGAACAGTATATACTCTCTCTCTCCTTTGGCACAGAGACTAAGGAAGAAAATCAGCGACACTGTGCACCCTCGTGTGTTACCTGCTCCCTAGGTATTATTACTCTGTCCTTTTTCCATCCTGCTTAGGAAGGCATATCTGAATCTAAGTGAGTGAAAGTGTGGTTGTTACCCAAGTTAACTTGAATTTATTTAGTCTGGTTTTTTTTTAAGGTAATAATTTTCAACCTCTTAGACCTTATTAAATTCTGTACTTACACTAAATACTCTTTAAGAACTAATCATGACATACCTTATATCTGATGATGACAAATCAGCATGTTACAGATGGACACACACTGATTTTAGGATATATGGCATTTTAAGCATTACAGCTGTTTGTTCCACCGAATTATTTATTTCTTGAGAGCCAGGGCTGTTTTATTCATCTTTTTTCTTTTGTTGTTCTAGAGTAATGATTTAAAAACTTGTCGACTCTAACTACTAAATTAAATTTGGAGAGCATTGCCAGGGAATCAAACACCCTCTACTGGCATTAGCACTTTCTCTTTTGGCCATTGCACTGTTGATGCTAAAACATAAAATGTGCTGATTTTTTTATAACAAGACTGAGATTACTTTATCTTGTCTTACTTGTGTCATTTTCACTATTCGAATGATATTTTTTTCCATCTTAAGAATGTATTCATCATGTTGGGAATAAGAAATTTGGTAAACATGCTGTGATGTAATTTTCCTTACCTGTAATTTTAGTACTCTATATGCATTATGCATGAGTTTGTGACTTAACCAACTAAAACCATATATTTTTTAAAATGAAAATTCTAGAGATAAATGTTGATGGAAATGTTTTTTACCCTTAACCTGTCACTGTGCTACAAATCTAAAAGATACAAACAGAGCTTTAAGTTTTACATTCACTACCCTGAAATATAGTCAAGAAAGAATTGGACCTGAATTCTTTAATAAGCACAATGGAAGGGTTGTTTACTTTTGAGAACTAATAGCTGCCACTCTTTGTGTTTGCCTGCTTACATAATTTGTTATGAAAGAATGCTTCTAGGTAAACCCTCTCTCCAGAATGCTGGTGGTTTGTTCTATTCTGCTTGGGAAGGGTTAAGAAGAGACAACATCCTGTCAAAGACCTTGTTTTTAATTTTGCTTCTCACACTGGCACAGATCCTGCTAAGAGCAGCCCAGATTAGTTCGGAAAACCTTTGAAGAGATTTAAGATGTCCTTCAGCCAGTTTGAAGGTTTTTGTCTTGCAAATCCAGTACAAGGGCGCCTGCAGGCATCTCGACCCTTGCTGTGCTGCTGATGCAGCTCAAGGTCACACTAACCCGCCCTGTGACATTCAACAACAACAAAAATTATGCGGTGAAACTGCTTCAGCATTCAGCCAACCAACAACTTCCTTTAGTGAGGAACTGAGGAAGAAGTCTTTTTTACCCCCCTTTTTCTTTTTTGGGGGGCTCTGTGAATTTTTGCTGTAGGAAATAATCCCGGATTTCTGGTGTGTGTGATGACAAGGTCATTTCTTAATTAGAACACATGTAAAGAACAAAGCTAAATGGCTTCAAAACAGCTTTGTAGTTGATGGAGAGGATTTAAATTATTTAAAGAGATAGTCACCCATGTATGATGGAAGCTGAATTCTAAAGGCATTAACTCCTTCATTCCTATCTACTTCTTGTCATTGCTTTGAATTCCTCGTGTCTGACTTTAGAGAGTTGCATTCTAAACTTAAGAGAGATTATAAATGCCCAGTGTTAAAAGGATGAAATGCAATTTATAAATTAGATTCTCGGATAAACTTTTAATGGAGAAGTTTTCTCCCCATGACATCTATCTCCTGGAAAGACTATCAAATGGCTTGACTTAGGAACTAAGAATTACACACTTTTCCCCCTGGCAACTGTGATTTATTTATAATGTATTGGAGGTGGGTGAGTAAAATGCTGCTTTATTGCCTCACCTTCTCTCTTCCTCACTTTTATCCATTTGTGATTTAGAAGTCTAGTTGAACAGTTTACCCCTGCCTCTTAGATATAACAGCACATAATCATTCAAAAAGTAATTTTAGTTAAAAACGGACTTTAAAGAAAGTTGTTTCTAAACGTACATGACATTTTAAGGCACAATGAAACCATGTCCATGAACACTCAGTAGCCACATGGACCTGCTCCCCTTTGCGAGGCTCGTTTCCCCCTGTTCCTCCTTCGCTGCCTGCGAATGTTAACTACCAAATAAATTAGTTGGACAAAGTCCAAGTGCACTGGCTTTCTGTGCTTGAGACTTAATACATATCACCTCTGCAGGAGTGGAGCAGAACAATCTAAGACAGTAATTTTGTGCTTGATATTTTCTTTATGTATACTATGTATAGAAGCACACATGGCAGTTATTTTTTTATCCACAAAATGACACTGTGTAGAGAAAGTTACCTTCAACTTTATCATATTAGCAAAACCGTTTTCTCAGAATTTATACTCAGTTGCTTTTTGACTGAAGTAGAATCAGGACAAATACTTTAAAAGATGGATAGTATTTTAAGTGTGATTATTTAAACTGATATTTTGGATTTTGTGGGCCACACTTAAAAGGATAACATGATGGACAGTGTAAGAACAAGTTAGAATGAACGAGACTTACTAGTTTAAAGGATTTTTCTCCTTGAGAAACAATTTTTGGGGTCCATGAAATGAAAGAGTAGATATTAAGATACATATTTTTAGGTATAGGTATTTTAAAGATTTCAAGTTTGCAAAAAAAAAATATTAGGTGGGGAATCTGTATGTGAGGAATGGTTAGTGTGATTCATTGTGTCCTGCCCTTGCCTGGAGTCTGGTATGCCCTAAATGTCATGTATGACCCAAGCTCACCTGCTAGTAATTTCTAATTTACTGTCCTAATTCATCGATTTGTTATCACTAATTGTTCTTCATTTACTTCTGTGTAGTTTCCAGTACCTAAAGGGTTGAAAGGTTGCTGTAATTGGCACCCGCAGCTGCTCTTTCTTTTGACAGGGGATAATTTTGCAGCCTATGCTTTGTGTGACAGCTGCCTAATTGGGCATTCTCCCCTTGTAGCAAGCCTGCCTCCTCCAGCCTCCCTGCTGACAAATGGTAGTGGATTATAGATGAGGACACGCTGACCCATTCGACCTTGCTGAGACAGCGGGGAGGGGCCTCCTGCTACTTGAGGGAAGCTTTAGGTCATTTAGAGGACAAGGTTATGAGCCAGGTGGAGAAATGACATGATATCACATGACAGTAGCCTGATGACATGGTCAGTGTGTCAAGGACAAATGCATCAGTATCGAATAAACATTATTACAATACTTCATTGAGTCCCTAGTATTTCTTAATTGTTCCTACTGAATTTTTTTTTAAGAAACCAAAAAAGCACAAAATGAGACACATGTATCTTAGCAGTGTTAAAGCAACTATATACATGAAAATAGAATTGGCTTAGGATGCCTCCTAATACGTTTCTTTAGTTATTTAGAGTATTTTGTTCTTAATTATTGCTTGGTTTGCAGCCTCTTAACTATCAATACTTTTCAATAGTTATTTGAAAATTAAAGCAGGCAAATTAAAACGTAGCAATATATGTTGTTAAAAAATATTTAACAACTTCTGTCATTTCGCTACTCAATGATTGACATACCTTTTCATATTTTTAATAAAAGAAAAATAAGCCAAGTGAAAATGTCTAATTGAAAAGAACACCAGAACTCTAGATTTATAAGATCAACTATACCACTGTGTGATTCCATAATTATAAAGTGTTAAAGTTGCTTTTTAAATAATTTTTGAGACTTGAAAATATTTTTCAAATAGCTTGGGATTATTCATAATGTAAAAACTTCAAGATACATGAAAATCTTTTGGATGTCTTATTACTGGCAATGCATATGCTTTTCTTGAGAAAGTAGGCTGGAACTATTAAAATATATTTTAAAGTGTAAACTCTTAAGAATCCATGCTGAGTCTTATTAACCCTATGTTAATACCTGAAATGATAAATTCATGTAAAAAATAGTACAATTAAGAAAAATGCCTAGTTTTAAAAATGGTAAACAGTTGAATACAAAGAGGACTGATCATGATTCTCATTTCTGGAAAAACAATTGTTAGGCACTGTTTGGATCTAAGCCCTCAGTTCAACAGGAGGTAATTTTATGCCCCTGAGATAAAAAAAATGAGGCGTGGTAAAGTGTGATGAATTAGTTCACCGAAGTAGACACATCTGTATTTTCATGGCACGTGTGTATGCACGCTCGTGTATGTGTGTGTGTGTGTTTAATTTGGACCATGCTGTGCATCTGTTTAGCTGCTCTCAAACCCTGACTCAAGCTTGGTGGAGGTTTAATCCTGTGCCCTTGTACACGTATACTTGATTAGTAGTTGTGGTTATCTCAGCAGAAGACATACCGCCCTCCTCCTTGTATTGGTCGGGACCCGGGCATTGGGGAGTCAAGGCAAAGGAGAAAGAAAAAAGATTTTACATTAGTATTCTATGAAAGCCTTACTGTCTGCAGAACAAATTGATTGCTCCGGTGTACCTGTGCTTGGCACCACTGCTGTGAAAGAAAGGTAGGGCTGTAATCTGTTTTATTGTATTACATATTGTGACACTCCAGGAATATTTAACATGCACTCTTTCTATGGCACGTGCTATAAGTCTAAGTAAAGAAAAAGGAAATAAATGAATGGAGAGTGTGTAAGAGCAATGGGCTGCAGCTTTGTTTACTTCAGTCCAAGAGAGTTCATTCGAATAAGATAATTTTGCTGCAAGTGTCACTGGGAACAAAACCTGATTGATAATGAAACCCTTATAAAGTGTTCTTAGGCACTAATCTGCTTCCCTGCTTGAAACATGTCAGGTGGAGATGAAATTCAAGTTAATACTGTAAGATTTTAACCATCAGATGGGAGCAGTCATGGAGGTGGTTATGGACATAGTTTAGAAAATTATTTTAAATTATGCTTCAGTACATTATATTTTTATAGGTCCTACATAACATGGTCCAGAGGATAGGAAAGAGATTTTCATTAAAAAAAGAAAAGAGGGGGCCACTATACCACTTTAAACTATATTAAGGAAATTAAGAAATGTGTTATTTACTTTATACTTTTGCTAGTTTGATTTGCATAAACACTGTACCATTTGATTATGTTGTAGAAAAGGATACGCATGTTTCTTATAGTTTTTTCTTTTAATTCTGTGAATGTTATTCAGTAGAGACTTGTGTACTATTTGGGATATTTGGAATTACTTAGTATGAAAGGAGTAAATGCTTTAACATTTTATAAAGTGATTGAAATATCTGTGATTGGAGTTAGACCCCTGGGCATTTTTAGGCATTCTTGACATGTGGTCATAGCTGCACTTTTTAACTTGTGTATACATCTGTACTGTGAGGGGAGAAAAGGAATTTCTCTTGTCCAAGCCTCTTGCCACATGTGAACTGCAGGTGCCCTTTTCCCTCCTCTGTTCCCATCCTGGTCCTTCGATTACAGTCAGAACACTTGATTTACGAGAGAGAGGAAGCAAAATGTCTCATACTAATACACTGATGAAATGAAAGTTGTTTTCTATTGTTTACTCTTGTATTCTTGAAATGAGTGTATAGCTTTACATTTTTTAGATTACATTTCACTTCCATTTAAATGTGTGAATAGCTGTTCTGTGTATAGTAATTATATGTCCTGAAGATATTCCGATACAGATTTGTATAATCAGAGGCTGTAGACTTTGGTCTAGACTGGCTTGCAGATAGTTTTATAGAAAATGAGCAAGTGAAGAAGCATTTTTAAGTACCTGTCAATAATAAATATGTCACTCTCTGGCATAAAACATTGATTAAAATGAACTATTTGAGGTCATATTATCTATAAAGGGGATGTTTTCAAAGAACTTTTCAACTTCCTCACAAAATTAAGACTATTAAATTTATTTTCAATTGGATATAGTCATCAAAATTATTTATACTGTATTTTTATACACCCAGTTTTCTGGGTTTTTCTCTTATTGAAAAAAACGTCAGAAAATGTAAAAACTAAAGTATAGAACTAAAAATTCAAGTATTTCATTTTTCAGAATAAAACATGTTCTTAAACTTTTTACTTATAGTTTTTAATTGTGTAATTACAAATTTTGAAGATTTTAGAATCTTTCACTTTCTCAAAAGAAATAGATGATATACATATGGTTAATACTTAGCCAAGTAAGATGGAGAAGTTAAAAGAGGATACCAAGTAGAAAAAATTGGTATTTTCCTTCTTTTTTCTTTCTTATTTATTGATTTAGGTGGAGTGTAAGATTGTTTTAACAGGAAAGGACTATATTTTGTTTACCAAAGTATCCACAATGCTTACCACTGTACCTGGCACATAACATCTGCTTAATAAATATTTGTTGAACACATGAATAAGGAATACTCAATCACCCTCACTTTCCACCCACCCCGATACATTCCTTTCTTCTCTCTTGGCTATTTATGGTTTCAGTTTGTGCAGTGCTCATGGTAGTGAATTTTTACATCAGTTGCTCTTCTGAAAGTATTCTAGGTATTGAAGGAACAGGAATTCAGTGTTTTAGAACCAGCCTCTGAATTGTGTTTATGGAATTGTTTCCCAGTCAGAGTACTTCAAGTGACTGAGTCTTAAAGTGTACTTCTTCCAAATGTGTGCTTAGAGTTCTTCTTCACCTCAAAGTGCCTCTATTCTTTTCCCTCATTATGCTGATCTACTGTGTTGCTGAATTTTGTTAAGCTGTGAAATCTAATTCTTAGAGTTTCATCATGTCAGTTTTGGTGTGTTATGCTTATTAACCAATATCAACAAATTATTTTAAAAATCCTAGAAAATTACCTGTTAATTTTAGTCGGATATATCTAAGTACATTGAAGTACAGAGAAAACAAACATCTGACATGTTGTTATTATTAATTTAAGCCATGAAATGGAAGACATTCATGAGAACCACTTTATGGGGGTAACACTTCCCTAAGCTCAGTAAATGAGCATGCAGTATTATTGGGTATCCAGTGTTAGCTAGGTTTGGACTGGAGTTCTTGAGTAGGAACCTTGGGAATTAGTATAAAGAGTTCATTTAACTGATGAGAACACTGGGCTTTAGGCAAGTTCCTACTTATCCACTGTTATAAACCTGCTTAGGACCTGAGCCAGGGCTAAAACACAAATCATCCGGCTTTTAAAAAAGTTATTTTTTTTAACATTGTATCAGTTCTTTATTTAGATTTATTCTTCTGAAATAACAATTATGTTTATATTAGCCAAATTTTATACCTGTAGCCACAGTAAAGTTTATAACCAAACAGAACATAAATCAAAGCAAACACACACACACATACACACACACACACACACACACGCAAATTGCTCACTATGGATGTAGACTCAGTAGACTTTTATGCAAAGAATGGGTAACAACATATTTAGTATTATAAAGAAACATATTAAAAATTGAGTAAAAATTTTTACTTAAAATTACAGTGGCCAGGCACAGTGGCTCACTCCTGTAATCCCAGCAGATTGGGAGGCCAAGGTAGGAGGATTACTTGAGCCAAGGAGTTCAAGATCAGTCTGGGCAGCATAGTAAGACCATATCTCTACTAAAAATTAAAAAATTCACCAGCTACTTTGGAGGTTGAGGCAGGAAGATTGCTTGAGCCCAAGAAATCTAGGTTGTGGCGAGCTGTGATTGAATCACTGCACTCCAGCTTGGACAACAGAGCAAGAACCCGCCTCTCTCTCTTTCTGAGAGTCCATATTGGAGTAAGTTTGTGAATACAGGTGACCCTTAAACAATGTGGGGATTAGGAGTGCCAGCCCCCGCATAGTTAAAAAATTTGCATATGACTTTTGACTTCCTCAAAACTTAACTAATAGCTGCTATTGACCAGAAGCCTCACTGATAACATTAAAACAGTTGATCAACATGTATTTTGTATGTTATGTGTATTATATGCTGTATTCTTATAATAAAGTTAGCTAGAGGAAAGAAAATGTTACAAAGAAAATCATAAGAAAGAGAAAATATATTTGCTCATCACTAAGTGGAAATAATAAAGATTTCATCCTCATCATCTTCACATTAAGTAGGCTAAGGAGTTTGTCTTGCTGTCTCAGGATTGGCAGAGGTGGGAGAAAATCTGCTTATAAATGGACCTACACAGTTCAAGCCAGTGTTGTTCACAGGTCAACTGTAGCAGAGTCACAAATACATTACATAGTCTCTTGATATTTGATAATCTGTAGCAGTGTTTTCTTTAATAGGGTAGTCATGGCTTTGCAGAGAAAGGCAGCCAGTTGAGACTCTTGTCATGCGGGGACCACCAAGGGGCAGTGCTTGCCTCCTTCAGTGATAATTAAATGCTGACTTACCACAATTCAAGAAATATTCTAATCAGATTATTCATGGTGAGATTAGACTCCTGAGGGTGGAGCTGAGGTTTGCAGATGGGTCCCAGCAGTACCTGTCAGATGAATATTCAAGATAAAGACTGAGAAGGTCCATCCAAAAATCACATGCCTAGATCAAAGTGCTGACAGACTTAGCTATAGGTGGGTCCGGCCTTCATCCACATGGGCTGAGATTCATGACTTGGTTTTATTTTCAGTAGAGAAATGAACAGGGAGCTAGAGACATGGTCAGAAAGCCCAATTGACCAAACACAAAGATACTGGAGAAACTACTAGATGGTAGCAGTATGGTTTGGGGACGTGGCTGTCTCATGCTCAAAATTAAGTTTATAAGCTTACAAGTCATAGGAATGGTGGCCACTCTGTTTCTAACCCTTTCCATCTGATTACTGGAAAACAGATCTCCAGGCCTGGTTCTTTAGTTCAGCAGTTGGGCAAAGTTTGCAAGCAAATTATTTCACCTCTTTACACCACAGTTTCCTCATCTGCAAAATGGGGATTATTGTAGTATCTTCCTCTTTAGGTTATGAGGATTAAATGAGAAGACAAATGTATAATACCTGGAATATATACAATTTATATATGTGTGTGTGTGTGTGTGTATAAATTCAAGGATATTGTAAATAACATATATAATGATTATTTTTGTGGGTTTTTGCATGTCTGTGTGTAAGATGGCCATGTCCTCTACTGATGTATTTTTTTTTATCCTGCTGCTAATAACAGATGACTTGACTAGGTAGCCTTAATATGGAATCTGTATCCAACCATTTATTTCTATTCTTTACCTATTATTTTATTCTCAGATTTTAACCTAGATAATGGACTATAACTTTAGTCATATTTTTCTCTCTCCCAAAGTAGATATTCTTTGTCATGATCAGTTAAGCGATTTCTATTTGTACTGACTTTATTAAAATATGTATCAAAAATTGTACGTAATTGTCAGTGATCACCTTTCCACTTAAAAGTGTAAAATGTCCGAAGGAGTCATGAATTTCAGTTTAGAATTATCATATATGATTTGGAAAATGAGAGTCAAGAGCAGATAAGGTAAAATTTAATTTGTTTAAATCTTAACCTTTTATCTTTCTTTAAATATCACTCATAGTTTCCTGGCTTTTATCTTATTTTAATCATAAAAAT